ATCTAAAGGTTAATTTGGAGATGCGTTTGTGAATGGGTTATATGATGTTCACAGATACATCTCTGAATTAATCCTTTTTTTTTAATTCAGGAATTTGTTCAGAGATGCATCTTTTAACGAGGTAAATGTATTTAAACCTCGCGCCAGACCCTCCCTCTTCTTTCTTCATTTTCAAAAACATTTTTTCTTCTCATCCACACTTTGTTCCAGACAAGCCTGTTCCTTCTCCAATAGTGTTCCAGACTACTTTGTTCCTTCATCGCCATTTTTTAGAGCAAGTTACTCATTTAGCTTATTTTTAATTTTGGTTAATGTATTAGATCAAATGGGTTAGTTTTAATACATTATATTGTATTAGCATTCTAAATAGGTAATGTGTAGAAGTTGTTTATATGATTTGGGTGATTGGGATGATTTTTGGGTGGTTATGGAAAGTGCAGTAGATGATGTTGCCATTGAAGCAGAACATGAAGCTTTTCGGAGATGTATCTGCGAATTGGGTACTTTTTGGTGTTTGGAGATGCATCCTCGAATTCTTTCCTTCTTGATACACTAATATATATTTTTGATGTATTTTCAAGGATAATTGCTACAAACAACGACAGGATGAGGCTTGTCGCGATATGACGCTTCAGCATCAGCAGGTCATAGGTACGGGGAAGTCGTCCCTAGGCCTCACGACGGAGAAGCGTCGGGTTCTAGGAGTCGACTATCACAGGGGTTGTCCCATAGGCCCGTGTACACTTGGAGGAGGAGGCTCCTGCTGTACATGATGATCTCCCTCTACTTGCAGACTCTTTTCCAAGAGGATCCACTGACATGTCATTACTGATATATTTTGGAGACCATATTGCTCTACATGTATGGGACATAGAGGTATATTTCTTAACGGTTCTTATTTTTATATTTTAACCAAATTCAATTTGAATGAGATTGTTATATTTTATTTTCAACAGGAACGTGAGTGTTTGAAATCTGTGAATCATGCCAAAAAGATTCACAGACTTACTCAGTCAAAGCAAGAGTGGTTCCTCAGTGTGCTCCAATACTCCGGTCTAGCTGGTATGTGTTCTTTCGGGTACAACATCATCAGCCATGACATGCACATGACATTTGCTGAGAGATGGCATAGAGAAACATCATCTTTCCATTTTCCCATTGGCGAGATGACGATTACATTAGATGAAGTTGCTTGCTTCTACACCTTCCCGTTAGAGCAAGGTTACTTGATCATTCTAGGATCAAACACGATGAGGCAGTGGATATGAGGTGATTTATTTGGGAGTTGGCCCAATAGAAGCCTTGATGCAGTGTAAGAGCACCATAGGTGCACATGCCAAGTTTTCTTGGTTGGAGACGTATTAAAACAACCTGAACTTGACTGAAGACCTCGAATGAGATGATCTACAGGCTGGATACCATAGGGAGTGTGCATTCATGTGTTACTTCCTATTCTTGGTTGGCACGTCCATGTTTGTGAACAAAAGTGCAACTTACATGGAAATGGCATACCTTAAGTATTTCATCAACTTAGAGGCCATTCACAAGTGGATTTAGGGGGGGCGCATGCTTGGTATACTTGTACTCCAAGATGAGCGAAGGTTCTCTTTGGAGGACAAAGCAAATGATGGGATCCTGCATACTGCTGACGGTAATTTCCATAGTCACTATTAATTTAAAAACAACTTTGTTCACACTTGTTACTAATATTTTTTCTTATCCATTTTCATGGGTGGATCTTTGTCTACTTTCACTGCATACACGAGTTTTAGTGTGTGCGAGGGTATATTGAACATTACCCACGTCCATGCATGTATCACTCGCATAAAGAGAATGACGTTGTGCTAGTGTTTCGTGTGTATATTGACCGGACTCTTCATGATGACATCAGCTGAATGACATACACCTCTCACTGGGAGATGATTTTATTCGACATCATTTCATCATACTCTGGATGGTTGGCGTGTGGGAGTAATATCATGTGCAGGTATCTGTCAGTGCGGTGCATGCGGCAGTTTGGGTACGTGCAGATCATTCTGAGATCTCCCTTCCAAACTGCTTCTGAGAGCATTGTCCACAGATAGTTGGATGACATTCTGGTAGATTTTAAGAGTCATCTGGTACCGCAGAAGTATCAGAGTATGTCAACCACATCTCAGTGGTCTTATGTGGACGGTTACATGACTTGATTCCCATTATATGTCACACTTTATCATGACATCAGACGCTCCCGGACGTCTACTTAGATCTGCTCACGAGGAGATCTTAGAGAATGAACAGGTCATGAATGACCATGTCGTTGATGTGTTGCTGATCTGACAAAACATTATGCGGACGACAGGAGAGAACATAAAGTCTAGGATGATTGAGAAATGTGGCGATGAAGCGGTTGCCCTAACACCTTCCAATCTTACCTATGCATGGAATGTCTTAAATTACCGTAGGCAGTGGAAGAATTAGGGTGTTAGGATTATACATACTCAGTAGATTATGCATTTGATTATATTTTGAAATGTTGTATATTTTTCCATACTTTGAGAATAGTTTTTGTACTATGATTGTCTTTCTTTTTAATTAATGTGTTACTTTGTTCTATGGTATTCGTGTTTATTAATTTTTTAAAACAAATAATAGCAATGTTAAATTAAAATTACTTTGGATTAAAAAACTACAAACGCAATACACTATTTCTGCACAAGAAACATGCAAACAAGACTTCAGAAATGTAAACATGCAGGCAAGACTTCAGAGATATATATCCAAATTTACCTCAAAAATACCCGCAAAGACATCTCTAAACTATTTTTTTTATAAACATGATGGGAGCTTGACTTACTAAGTAGGAAAGGTGACCTCAGAGATATTGAGATGTATCTTTAAATAAACCCAAAAATATTTTAAAGATTTTCAAAAGTGTGCCGCACTCTATAAAGGTGCAAAGAGAAATTCCCATTTTAAAAATGTTGGTGGAAAATATTTAATCCTATTTATAGGTACTAAAAATGATCTTAGAAATAATTTATACGTACTAAATGAAATTTGAAATTTTCAAAGGGAATATTTAACCCGTCTTTGTAATACCAACAATGCTGCAAACACCTAGCCTAATTGATGGATGACTTACTTTTATAATTTGTAAAACGATCATAGTGACTTAGGTTAGTGTTCTGCTATGATTTCCAAATTACAGTTCATGCGACCAGTTACACTAAGTTCACCTAATGCTCTTCAACATCAAGCCCAGATTAAAACTAGTAAAGTCGACAATACAGTAAGTGATGCAAGCAAGGCAGTAAGTGATGCAAGCAAGGCAAAAACTTGTTAGCTATATGACACGTTGATGCTAAGTGTGTTAAAATGGTACTCCCTCTGGCCATTTTTCTAAACAAATATTCTTTTTTTAGGTTTATTGCATAATGAATATATCTGGTCTTTTATGTAGACCATATACATTTATTACTCAATAAACTTTAAAAAAGAATCTTTGCTTATAAATAAGACCGGAGGGAGTAGGATATAGCCTTATCGCTTTTTGTATTCTTCGAGTAACAATCAAAACCAATCTTATATGATCCATTATTAATTCAACTACCTCTCATACCCATCACTGGCGTGCTCCTTCCAGCTGCACAATGTACTTCACATACAAGTTTATATGAAAATGTCAACAGTTACAAAAATTAGAAGTACATGGCATTCTCAATCAGCATCAATGACTAAGATCAATCCCAAAACTTTCCTTCGCATCTGCAGGTTCTTAATGAAATTTAAAAATATCAAACCTGAGATTTGAGATCCAAACTTCCATATTATTTGTTACTTAAATTGTATTCCTTCTTCCAACTTTCACCCCCAATGGAGTATGGACTAACAAAGAATGCTGAAAGTTGAAAAATGAGGCCTACAGTAATGGACCAAATATTGAGGACCTGCATTGAGTAATTAAATATGATCTCTGATTAATATACATGAGAATATGCATTGGATCAAGCCTCAGTTAGTTTGGATTAGCTTCGGCTTATTGTAGGAGCCTGATTTTGTAACCTCAAAAGACATGATTCAAATTCCACACGAGACTTATGGGAGCTTTTTAACTAAAATAAATTTTCAGTTGTTTTTACAAGCTTATAGATAATTATGAAAAAATAATAATTGGGGAGCTTCTAAAAAATATTTATGTGCAGAAACTAATTCTAACTTGCATGACAAGTTATTGTTTAAAATACTCATCTTTATAGCAAAACTGTTTTAGTATATCTTTAAGCATAAATCCAGACAGACACTAAATTACCAAGGGTTAAAAGCAATTTTTCTTTCTAGAAAAACAAATCAGACTAGGTTACGCAAGGTTGACATGTACAAGAAGAGAATAACCAGCCAAAACACAGGAAATCGATGACCAGCACCTATTATCCAATATTTATAAACAATCAATGTGAGCAAGAGATTAAGTAGGCATGGGTTCGAAATCTTGGCTCAGCCCGCATAAAATGACAAGTTAAGCAGGCGTGCTGAGCCCAGGTTTCGGGCCACTCTGTTTGCCATCCCTAGGCTTATTTGGGCTACTCATGAAGGAAACAGACCAAGTGCAAGGCTTAAAAAAACATGGAAGCAGCTTTTATCCCCACACCCTTTGTAAAAACCTGATCCTGTCCGGATGCACCGATTCGAATGTGGCAAAAAACATGGTTTTCTCCATATGCACTGTGCTGAAGATGGAAATTTTGATATTTTTTGCCTGGCCAGAACAGTACCTCCGGAAGGGGTTGGTTTTTAGAAATGTGTTAGGGAGAAGTAGTTTCTCAAAAATATATCACTGCATGCTTAGCATTTACTAGTTCGTCTACACCAATTAGAGGTTAACAACATTTTGAAGCTTTTCCACTTCAGACTGACTTCATTTATTTTAATATAAGCAATATAAATAAATAAATCATGGTAGTTAAGAATAAAGTTAACTATCAGGCACCGGTGCAGAATGATACCTTTTATCATTTAGGCTACTTGTTTGTGTTGTAAGATGGGATATATGACTCCAGAATTAATTGTGCTGGAGAGGGTGCTCTAATCTCAACAATCAAGTATGTGAATTTCCACTCACCGTCAGCTCCTTTGAACATCTCAGCAAATACTTTTCCATGTCCATGGGGGGCCCGGATAAAGAAATTAACCTATAAAACCCAAATGAACATGTTTGAGAGCAAATCAAATTAATAATAAAAATGGCACAGAACAGCTGCTAAAATCAAGTATCTTCCACCATAAAAGAAAACTCAAGAATTTAGATAACACAAATTAAATGTGAGGATGTATTCAGGGATGAGGATGTAATCAAAAGAATTCTTATAAAATGTTGTTCCGGCAAATAAATGTGATTACATGTAAATAAACCTACCTCTACATGCTCAACACCCTCCTCGTCAGTCCAAACCCTATTGGGAATTCTTTGACGAGCTGCGCGATTTCTACTCTCTTGGCCATAACCTGTAATTGGGGATCCAATCCTCACTCTGACCTGGAACAAAGCAAATTCAAGTTCACATGAAAACTCAATATTGGTAGAGAATCAGCTACTGCTCATTTAAAAAAATTGTCATACAGATCATTGTTTGATTTAGTGTTTTAAAGTAAGCAATTTTTGTGTAGAATTTGGTCTTCACAACAATTACAACAAGAACAAATAAGCATGGATATTTCCTTTTCATTTACATAGCAAAAAAATGTTGCAGGGGCATTGTGAGTTGATTCATATGAGGGATAGTATCTTATAGTTCAATATATACTGCTCAAGTTAAATACAGAACTTTGGTAAAAGTCCTTCACCCAACTCCAAGTTCCAACTCAATGACATTATGACACAACACATATACCTAGTTTACTGTATATTATAAGGATCTTCAACAACTAGCTCAATAGGTATTAGGTACAAATCCTCGTATTTCTATATAACATACTAATTGTCATTGAGGCATCTGTTATCTATACACTAATGATGGGATATTACATTTCCTTATTAACAAAATTAAAACAAAAATTTGATATTAAAAACCATCAAGATCGGTTTGAATACCATTCCATCACCCAATTTTAGTTGTCTTTGAATATGCTTCTTCCTAGTTCCTACAAATGGCAACCTGCAGAATGACCATCTTCATTCTATGTCCAACCACACAAACAGAAGGATATTGGACTGAATATTTCAAACATTTAAGTTCCTTTGAATGGAAAAGCTTTATTTTTGTTGTGTTCAGGAAAATGGACGCGAAAGAAAAGCATCACTCACCTGACCATCATCTTGAATTCTTTTGAGAGCCTTGTTATAGATCTTGTACCTATAATCATCTTATTACAATCAGCACAAGACAAAAGAAAAGAGGAAAAACAATGAACTATTACTTTTTAAGATTGAGCCATACTACAAAGCAAAAACAAAAAAAATTGGGCTAGATTCTGGAGTGGTTGTTGGGTAAGACAAAATTGGGCTAGGCATTCAGGCCAGGCCAGACTTTTAAAAAGGTCAGGCCGGGCCAAAAAAAAGAGTCTATGATAGGCCATAGGCCAAGCTCATGCCTTTTAAGTTTATTGTAGATCAGGCCCAGGCCTTTTAAGTTTATCGTAGGTCCGGTTCAGGCCTTCTAAAACCTAGCCTAGCCTATTTCCACCCATATCAGCAATCAATAAGAATGCCCACTCATTATTTAAAAGCTCTAGTCATCTAGCATTTCCCGTTCCGATAACACAATATAAGCAAGGAGATTAAACTCGTTACTCTTTGGGCTGAAATATAAGCTCCTTGAAAACCGCATATCCAGCAGCAGCCGCAACTCCGAGCCCTGCAAGAATGATCACACTGTAGGATGCCCCCTCCACGAATGTTACTGGCTTCTCGGGAATGTTATATGTTGGAGCATCATCAAATGGATTCTCAACATTTGTTATCTCCTTTTTTGTCTACAAAACAAATAGAAAAAAAAAAAAACATTGAATCACTACTTTACCGCAAATAACACCAAACAAAAGGCCATGGAGTTTAAGTTAACCTAACAACTGCAAAATTTCGAACTGAAACCTAAACCTAAACCCCATAATTTAAACAGTAGTAAAATTAGGGTAAAAGTAAAACCTTTTCTGTGCCTTTTCCTTGTTCAGATGATGATGCTCTTGAAGACATAAGCTTTGAAAAAGAGATTGATCCATGGTTTTCTGTGATTCCTACTCCTACAAAAAAAAACAGTAATTTGAAAAATTAAAAAGAGAAATCAATGAGTAAGAGAATGATAAAGTGAAATTGAAAGGTTTTGGTACAAACCTAGAAATGAAGGAGGAGGAAGAATTGGGGAATGGGAATGAGGGAGAGAACGTGTTTCCGATGAAGAAAGTGCATTGCGGGTGCATGATGCGAGTGCACGGTAAGACAAGATTCTGCGAATGCGAAACATGGTTGATTCTATGCGGCGAGCAGAAGAGAATACGCAAATGGAGACGGAAGAGAAGGGTTCGGAGATACTACAAAACGGCGCCGTTTGTTGTTGATATCCTTCTTCTTCTCTTAATCAAAAGTGGCATATAAGACAAGGGTAAAAGTGGTTATTAATAAATGAATTTAATTAATTGATAATCACATTGTAAAAATAGTTTACATGATTAGTTAATATAATATAGTGGGTTTTTTTTTTTTTATATATAAACAAACTTAACATTTTTCATTACTTAAATAAAAATCAATTTAAGGAGGTATCACATTAATAAAACTACTTTTGAATTAATAATTAGTTGTCTTGGTTAACATATGGACAATCGAATTTATTTGACGTTTAATAAATTAATTTTTAAAGTTCGAAAAAAGATGCAACAAACTCTTTATAGTTAAAATAATAAGACTAAATTCGAATCTTTCCACATGTCTAGAGTGGGTAGCTTGAACTACGACTTGTGAATCGCTCTCAAAGATTAGATTCATCAATTATATCGAAATAGCACTTTGAATAGTTTCCTTCAAAGCCATGACTTCGGCTACAATAATGGAAACTACACCACAGTCCCAAGCAACACTTGCATTAAGAAATCTATCAAGATTGTCTCTCACACATCATCCTCTACACACCATCCTCTATTAGTAATGCTTATACCAATATTAAAATCCACATCAACATTACATTTCAATCTTCCTTCATTACGCGGACTCCAAACAATAGTATGAGAATGAAACCTATTGAGATAACTCTTTTCTTGAGCTGAAAATCAATCTTTCCAACTGTAGTATGCCTGCAAGCCAATTTTTAAATCTTTCTCCCGAACATTATTCCAAACAACATTATTCCTATTCTTCCAAAGCATTTCTAGCATCACAACAAACCTACCAACATCCTTATATCCTCTCTATTGCAAATGTCAAGAATAAAAGATTTAGCACCATAGAAGACAAACATGTTGCCTACCAATACTGAAATGTGGTAGAGCACCCAAACAAAATACATGTCAATCATTCTCATCGTCGATCTCACAAAGAGGACAAACGGCGGGACACAAGACATGATGATGGCGAAGCCTAGACCGAGAAGCCTAGACCGAGACGGAATACAACACCTCCATATCCTCCATAATAAATGTTTAGCTTAAAGAATATTTAATGATAGTTAATATAATGGTTGAATATTTGGTGATACTTGACTTTTATTTCAAAGGTTTATAACATAATACAAATGAATGATATAATGAATTGATAATGTAAAAAAATTTAGACTAACATTATACAATTAATCTCATTAATAATTTTGTTGCTCAAATTTATTTTAAAAAAATTGTTATATTAAATTTATATTTTATTAATCACTTCAGATAAAAATCTAATTACATTCTAAAATGATCAAAATACTTTTAAATTGAAATAAAATTCATAATATATTGTGTGGATAAATATAAACTCAATTCACTTAAGTTGACGTAAAATAAATTCACATAAGCTTCTATAAACTCACTTCTCGTAAATTTATGAAACTTTCTTTAAATTTTTACATGCAAACTTAGTTTTTATAAAAATGAAACGGTCCTCTTAATTTAATGTTTTTTAATTTTTAATCTTTCATTTTTAAAAAACAGTTTTTTATCTCTAAATTTTATGGATATTGGATTTTCATGGTCCCCTAGTTTTATAAACGTGACACCTTTATTAATGATGAGACATTACTATATTAACATTATGTCATTTTTAATTAAAATTAATTATTTTTTATTTTGTAAATTATTAATATCTTTTTAATATAACATTAATGTAATTTAAATATTAAAATTATTGAAAACAAATTTTTGAATTAAAAGTCCAACCGCTACAACCAAAATTCAATATTCAAATACATTACCACTCTATTTTATTTAGGGAATTTCTTAACTCATCCTATAGTATTCTAGCGCACCACGCGAAAATACATAAATGTCTTGGAAATCGAAAATCTATTTCTGAAATGCACCAAGATGTAATAAAAAATTACATTTCAGAGTTATATTTTCGATATCGATCCGATATTATATTTCCAAAAAATATCATTACATGTGGGATATTGGATCGAACTCTAGCATGATCGAAGTACATGCTGTAGTCGAAGCATGTATTTGTCGAAGAATGCTTGTTAAATTAGGTTTTAGTGTTTAAACCCTAATTTGTTAAGTTAGCTTGATTATTAAGTTAGCTTGTATAATGGGCCTTGTGGAAAAAGCTCATTAGTTAGTATGTTAGGTTTTATTATAAATAGCATACTAGTCTCTCATCATTGCAACACAGCAAATCCTATTTTAGGGTGAGAGGGTTATTTGTTATTCTTGTAAACTTGTAATCTTGTTTCCAAAGAGAAAGTAAAGAATAACAGTTATAACCAATTCTTGTGTTCTTCTTCTTCCTTGTTTGATATTCCTCCCTTATTCTATACTTTGTTATTGGCATTGAATTCACAACAAATTGGTGCGGTGAGCGTGGAGAAGATGCCTTCAACAAAATATGAGATTGAAAAGTTCACCGGAGTGAATGATTTCGGTCTATGGCGCTTGAAGATGAAAGCCCTACTGGTTCAGCAGGGTTGTTTGGAAGCGTTGAAGGGAGCGACGGCGATGGACGCCGCGTTAACAGAAAGAGAGAAGACGGCCATGATCGAGAAAGCACACAGCGCAATTTTGTTGAGCCTTGGTGATAAGGTTCTTCGACAGGTATCAAAGGAGACGACGGCATCAGGGTTATGGGTGAAACTTGAAAGTTTGTATATGACCAAATCTCTGGTAAATCGACTCTACCTGAAGCAAGCTTTGTATTCATTCAAGATGATTGAAGACAAAGTGTTGGCTGAGCAGTTGGATATGTTCAACAAGCTGATTCTTGATCTTGAAAATATTGATGTAAAGATTGATGATGAAGATCAAGCGTTGTTATTATTGTGCGCTTTGCCCAGATCACATGCTCACTTCAAAGAAACCCTCTTGTATGGAAGAGAGTCCCTGTCCTTTGAAGAAGTTCAATCAGCTTTGTACTCTAAGGACTTGAACGAACGTAAGGAGCATAAACCTTCGACGGTTGGTGAAGGTTTGGCTGTTAAAGGAAAATTCGACAAGAGGAAAGGTAAAAATCAGTCGAAGTCTTATAGTGGTGATGCATCTGGTATTAGATGCTATCACTGTAAGAAAGTAGGTCACACAAGAAAGGTGTGCCCTGAACGCCTGAAAGATCATGGAGGTAAGGATAATGGCAACGCATCTATTGTCCAAGATGATTTCGAATCATCTGATGTTCTTGTGGTTTCAAGCAAAAACTCGTCGAAGGAATGGATTATGGATTCTGGATGCACTTGGCACATGACTCCAAACAAAGACTTGTTCGAGGAATTATGTGATCAAGATGGTGGATCTGTATTGCTGGGAAACAACAAAGCTTGCAAGATTGCAGGCGTTGGATCTGTGAGATTCAAGCTCCATGATGAGTCAATAAGATTGTTGACTGAAGTCAGGTATGTACCTGATTTGAAGAGAAATTTGATTTCTCTTGGTGAATTCGACAAGAAAGGATATGTTTTTCAAGGAGAGAAAAGTATCCTAAGAGTCATGAAAGGGTCGAAGGAAGTCTTGAGAGGCGTGAAGAAACAAGGCTTGTATACCCTTGAGGCTGAAGTTGTAAGTGGTTCGACAAATGTTGCATCCACGAAACCTTTGTCGAAAACAGAAATTTGGCACATGAGATTGGGCCATGTCAGTGAAAGGGGTCTGGTTGAATTAGGGAAACAAAATCTGCTTGGTGGAGATAAAGTCGAAAAGCTGAAGTTTTGTGAACCCTGTGTACTTGGAAAGTCCTGTAGAATGAAGTTCAACAAAGGCAAACAAAGAACACATGGATCCCTTGATTACATCCATGCTGATCTTTGGGGGCCTGCAAGGTGTCCATCACATTCAGGAGTAAAGTATTTTCTATCCATAGTAGATGACTATTCCAGAAAGTTATGGGTATTCATCCAGAAGACTGAGGATGAAACTTTTGAGAATTTCAAAAGTTGGAAGACTCTTGTCGAAAATCAAACTGGCAGAAAGGTAAAGAGGTTGAGAACCGACAATGGCCTTGAGTTTTGCAATGAGGCGTTCGACAGTTTTTGTGTTGCTTCTGGTATTGCAAGGCACAGAACTACCGCAGGTACTCCACAACAAAATGGTTTGGCTGAAAGGTTTAATCGAACTATTTTGGAGAGAGTTAGATGCATGTTGACTAGTGCGGGATTAAAGAAGGTGTTTTGGGCTGAGGCTGTTTCGACAGCAGCATATCTGATAAACAGATGTCCTTCGACAGCGTTAGATATGAAGACACCTGAAGAAGTTTGGTCGGGACATCCACCAGATCTCGACAAACTAAGAGTATTTGGCTGTGTAGCCTATGCTCACATTAGGCAAGACAAGGTCGAACCTAGAGCTCTGAAATGCATGTTTATGGGATACCCTGAAGGAGTGAAAGCTTATAAGCTATGGTGCCTAGAGCCAGGTCACAGGAGGTGTATCACCAGTCGAGATGTAGTTTTCAATGAAACTGAAATGGCTTTCAAGAAAACTGATGATGTTGACGAAGAGCTGGAACAGGTAGAGATTCCTGTTGAGGTGGAGCATGTTGATGCTGAAATGCGTATCCCAGATGAAGTCGAAGAAGAAACAGAAGATTCTGATGATGTTGAGGAAACTGTTGATAACTACCTATTGTCGAGAGATAGGCAAAGAAGAGTCATAAAACCACCTCAGAGACTTGGATATGCAGATCTTGTAGCTTATGCCTTAATCTCTGCAAGTGAAGTTCTAGACGAAGAACCTAGAGATTATAAGGAAGTTATAAGGAGTCGAATGAAGACTGAATGGCTAAAGGCCATGCATGATGAGATGAAATCTCTCCATGATAATCACACTTGGGAACTAATCAAGAAACCTG